AACAAAAAAGGGTAACAGTAGCAAAAATCCAAAAACAGAAATCCACAAAATTCACAAAAATTGAGAACCAGGAATACTCACAACAAGGGGGCGAAGAAATGATGACAAACCCACCTCAGTGACTGAGCAGGAGGTGCAGATATGGGAGAAAGAAACAAAGACCAGGCTAATTAGCAGATTGGGAGCAGGTGTGAACAGAGGAGTCTAGAAGGGAGCTAGAAGAAGGAGACTGACACAAGAGGTCAACAGAGGGCAAACAAAAAATACCAAAGAACTCAAATACAATCAAAAATAACTAGAATAACACATAATGGAAATAAAACGAATGAAACTAGAAAACAAAGAAAAACATGGATCAAAGTGAAACTGAAAACTCAAAAAGAAAACTTAAACAGAACCAAAACTGTACCAATATGTAACTGTGCATTAACTGTGAGTGTGAATGCCGGATTTTATTTCACATGTATTATATATTATTTATAAATGTATTATATATTTTTACTCATTGCTTGCTAGATTACTGTGTATACAGCAATGTTTTACAGGAAGTGTGTGTGTATGTGTGTTTCAATTATGAAAGGTGGAAACTCTAGTTCTAAAGGTTTGGGTTATGGAAAATAAAGCTGCTGCCATATGACTCCTTATTTGCAAAGACAAAGCAGGATGGGATTCCATTGTGACAAACTGTGAAGGGATTCAATGTATGACTACTGCATGTCACTGCAGCATTAATGGCCAGTTTTATGACAATAAAGCTTTCAGTGTCTTTAACACTTCCCATGCATACAATTGGTGCTTTTCATCATGTGGAAAATAACCAAAATAGCCGTCTTTGAGTCCTCAAATGCACAAATCCAACCTTAAATAGAAATGAGAATAGGGCATCGATTGGATAATTTCAGTGCAATATGAAAGCAGACGGTAATCATGAAATAAGGGACAAATTTAGGGGCTACTCATGCATTATTTTCGTGTACGAAAATCCGGTATTTGTTCTCATAAAGGACTTAATTTGTGTCTGCGGAGCTCTAAAGACTAAACAGACTCTCAGGATGAACATCCTGATGGTTTCTAAAACATCTGACAGAGGGGAAGGGAATCCGTTCTCAGGATTCCTCTGTTTTTCTCACCGCCTCGGGGTTGTGTATGCAGCAAAGCAGCTACTGTAGGATTCAGAATATGTTGATGCAGCAGCCCACATACAGAGACTTTCTGTGTCTTATTGTAAATCATCGTAAAATAAACCAAGACGAAGGCTCAGGGACAGCAGGCCCTTT